TTTAGAGTAGAATTCATTATTTTGTTAAGGTTCTTACTATCGTAAACACGTTTTATATTACGGAAGTTTCTCCACCACATTTATATTAGTACCTTATCAGATTAAACTTATACGATTTCAGAGTTTTCTACAGAGACTGATGCTCAATTTTGGACGAACATGTATACACTTGCTTCAGAAGATCTGGATCATAAGTATATTTGTTGGCAAGAATACTGTAGGATTCATAGAAGTAACATAGAGAACGGTAGAATGAATGTCAGCTCTGATGTTATTAAAAGACATTGATTCGCTGCTTAAAGCGATGAAGCAATGCGAAGCAAGGAGTTATCGCTTCATTGACAAAATCGTGTGCCTAAATAAGTGTGCGCTTCAACAAATGACGCACATAGTGATTCCAACAAGAAATGGTCGATTCTTTAAATCTCAACCTTATGAATTGGACTAATATTGACATTACTGTATATACTGAATGCTGGAATTAGCTATTTCAATTGATATTTACTATTATAGTACTATAATCATATATATTGGTACTTTTATTTTCTTTGTAAATTGTGCGCTTAATCATTTCTTGCTTTTCTGCTTGAAGGCTAATGGACCTCTTTTTTGCACTTTTTGTTTTTAGAAACATTGCAACTCACCTCATACATACTTCTCTCTGCCTGCAAGTACTACAACCAGACTAACCTCCAATACTCCAAGTATCCAACAAATCCACCGCAAGAAGTCTTCATGACTCTTGAGACTACCAGTGAACTTTTTTATTCTGATAAATACATAATGATCTATTGCATCAACAACAGCACTATCTTAGCGGCTGTCTCTAATATGAGATTACAAAATCCAACTCCTTGACAATTTTGAAGGAACTGAGGAACTCTATCACTTCTCAACATTGTAAACAACTCCTAGCTTGCATCAAAATGCTAGCATAATGATAAACTTGGATTTTAGTCTTAAGATTTCTCTATAAGAGGGTAAAAGTTTTATTGATAAGAACCAAGGAGGTGCTGTATAAGTACAAAGGAAGTTCTTCTCCTTCTATAGGTTGAAGGAGTACATAAGATCAGACAGAGTAACAAAATCAGTAACTATTTTCCCTTTTACACCAGAAGAACAGATTCTTAACACATTTATATTTTACAGAGGGCATATGTTCTACATTTTCACAAAAGCATCTACTATTTCTCTCAAGCCAAATACTCCAGAATATGGAGAAGGAAACTGATCTTCAAAGTTACCTGCAAGTTTTTGCAGTGGTCTGCCCATTCCAAATGATTAAAACTTGCTGAATGTTCCATGGTATAACCTAAACCTAGAGTGGTGTACTCCAAAAACGCTTAGAAACATTAACCATAAAAGCCATGTGAGTTTAAAATGTAGGAGAAGGTGATAGACAGATTCCGAGGCATCCTCACACATATAGCACCAGCTGCAGATAAATCCCCTTTTGCTGCAGGTTGTCTTGAGTAATGCAAATCACTAAGCTATATTTAGCTTAGTGAAACAGTGACAAAGTATAAGTGGGCAGAGCATCAAATACACTATTTATTAAAACTGCTCTACCACCAAGTAACAAATACTGTTTTTTTGAGTTTGACAGTTTCTTTAACTTTTAAATATTTTGAGAATAGAACTTTTAAATGTTACTTACCATGTTCCCTAAGACTTATATTTAGCTCCCAAAGGCAGATCTTTGTATCTTGTATGAAGACTCCCAAAGCTACACCTCGGAATCTCCAAGATAATCTGGATATTATGAACTTCATTAACCAAAAATTAATGGCTTTTCACGAAGCTAATACGAACACAAGTGAACTCTCTCAGCAATACCAACTTAATTTTCTGTCTTCCTCCTTACAATAGAAAGATAATAACTGAAGCCATACATCCCCTCTGTCTTATATCAAAATCTCACCATAGCAAACGCATATACAAAAGTCAAGCAAGAGGACTCTGGAGTTGTTATTATTCAGATTTGAAGACAGTAATAGAACTTCTCCCCCACAATAATCTTCTTATAACAAGTAAAAAGAGGAAGATTAAAAAGAGAATGATAATGGTGGTAGCCCCCTTTTATTCCACTCTTCCATGTTCTTCTCCAATGTTTCACAATTTTTCTTATTCTCAAGCCTATGTTTATTCTTCACTAGTAAAATCAAAATACCGAAGTGTGCAACCCCCCCTCCCCCATACGGGCAGAGTTACAGGTACCTATGCTAGTGGAAGGTAGCAGATGGAACAATCGAGGTTGCGCGCAATTTGGTCCTGACACCACCATCATTCAAACAACATTATTTTCCTCACAAAGAACACCAATTCCTTCCTTAACTTTCCTAAAGCTTTTCCCCACTGGGGATCAAAAGGTGAAAGCGCAACTCTTTGAATAAGCATAAATTTCATAAGTCTCAAAAACCCTAAAGCAGATAATATGGCAAAGAAAGTAAACAAAACAGGGACAAAATGTAACAAAAACAACTGCACATTGCAAAGAACCTTAAAGCGCCAGAAAAACAAAAGCACAATAGACAGGCATGCAAAGTAATTAGCAATTCTCTAGGGTTCTATTTGAATTCAATTAATAGCACTAAAAGAACAAACGGAGCAGAAAAATTAAGTCAATGCGTTATAACAAGGCTCAAAATAAAGATGAAAAAGATAAGGAAAAGCAGAGAAAGCTGTCTCACTAGAAAGGCGAAACGCGGAGCAGTAAACAAGTGAACACGTACAGTATGGATATGAAAATTCTAATGTGAATGCTTCAATTTGATGAGAAGTTCGGGGACTTCCGCCGTCGCCGGCGTGTTTAACTTCAACAGGAGGAGAGCTGGAGAGCTTTGAGAAGTGTTGGTGACGACGAAATAAGGAGCCAATGTGCGTTTCGGTTTGTTAATATAGGGCGGACTTTAACGGGGCGGATTCGACCCGTAATGCACTTTGTAGTGGGGTAAATTTTAAAAATAGCCAGATTTACAACTGGTCGTTCAAAAATAGCCTAATTTCAAAAGTAATCGAAATTTAGCCACTTTTTATATAAAGATAAATCTGAGCGAAAACATTATTCAAAATCCGGAAAATACTCCAGTATATTATACTGGAGTTCCAGCATAAGTATACTTGAACTCCAGCATATTATACTGGAGTTCCAGAATAAGTATGATGGTACTCCAGCATAATATGATGGAGTTCCAGCATAAGTACACTAGAACTCCAGCATAATATACTGGAGTTCCAGCAAGTATATTGGTCCAGTATAATATATTGGAGTTTGGAGCACCGGTGCTCCAGTCTCCAGTATATTATACTGGAGCCAGCAAAGTATACCGGTCCAGCATAATATGCTGGAGTTCATACACAAGTGCACCGAACTCCAGTATATTATGCTGGACCGGTCTCTATTGCAGCAAAATAGTGAATATTTTTCATTGACTTGGTAAACGCTGGCTATTTTTGATTGACCAGTCCGAAAACTGGCTATACCGTGCTATTTTTACAAATTAAGTAGTCCTAGTAGAAAGAAAAACTGAAAACGTTAAATTAGGGTATTTTTCGGCCTCTTCTATTCCCTTTTTCCCTTAATATTAGAAAAAAGTATAGTTATAGTTATATCATAATTAAAGTGAATCATTTATATAAGGTAAAATCTTCATTAATTTTTAAATTTAGTATTTTCGGAGTTTAAATTAGAAAAGATATAATAAATAGAATTTTAGTTGATATAAAAGTCCTAAATATTAGGAAGATAAGTAAATGACAATTTTATTCAATGTAAATTCGATTTTTAAAGGGTAAAAAAGGCAAACGACATTTCGCTAAGGACCTTCGTACTTAAAAGATATCTCTTTCTGATTCTTTTGTAATAACTTTTTCTACGTAAATATAATAATATATATTTTATTATATACATTTAACCATATATACATTATATTTTGTTTCCCTCAAATTTGCTTCTTCATTATTTCCCCATCAGCGGAAACGTGTTTACTTCCCCCAATTCTTTTTATAATGTATTATTGTATATTATATATAATATATAATATATTTCCGTATTTTTCATTATATATGTGTGTGTGTGTGTGTGTGTAATGTCGATATAACCTTCTACAAGTATACAAGAGACGCATACCAACGACGGCTAGTACCTATTTGTAAAGAATATGGAGCATTTGTAGTGAGGTAGTGTTGTAGTGATCCAAGATTTCAAAGTCATGGGTGCTCGCCGATTAAGATTTCAAAAGAAGAGGAAAAAAGAGTTTTATTGTGGGTGCTCACTCAATATTTATCTAAATATTTGCATAATTACCTATATAAATTATTAAATATGATCAAAAGTAATGGGTGCTTAAGCACCCATAAGTGTGCATGTAGATCCGCCAATGGTTGTAGTGGTAATCTAATATGTTTATATTGATAATTAATAATTAACAAATTGGAGAACATTTAGGGCCAAACTATACGCTTCAGATTACCATGCCCCTTAAATAGGAAAAATTCCATACGTTTCAGATATACTTAATTCCCCTTAAATAGGGATAGTTATCATATTTTTAGAGTATATTTTTAACACTAGAGGGATGATGCCCGTGCATGCCCACGGGCCCGGCATATTATATATCATCAATTATGATGGTAAGATTAGTCACAGTGCTTCTTATTGAAATCAAAATAAATAATCATAGTCAAAGAATTATTCAAAGTAACATGGGCATAAAGCTGCTATTTTCTTTACAAATATGTGCAAAAAAAGACAATAAGGATGGTGTCTCTCCAACAACCAACCCAGTGCCTCAGTTGCTTCTATTTTTCACCATGATGCTTCTTGTGGCTGCTGCTGTAACGCATGGTTTAAATGGAAGTAAAACTCATCAACAATATTTTTAAGTGATTGTCCTTTACACATTTTTAACAATTTTTTGCCCCAAAAAAATATATTTTTCAATGACTGTCCTTTAATACAATAAATGACTGGATATGGATACTGAGAAAATGTAAATGGATCGATCTACATGGGCCATTAATCCCTATACAAGTTCCTCCCCAGGATATAGGATGATTAGAAGAAAAAACGAGTCGCTCACCGCTTCCCCTTTGAGATGGTTCCTCCATATAGAGTAAACATTGAATCAGTGACAACTGTAGTATTCCTACAAAGATAGAGTTTGCGTTGATCTTTATATCGTAAACAAACCATGCACACAATATCCTGGAGACCTAGGCACTAATAGTTCTTTCCATAACATGACTTGCACTAATGACAATAGATAAGCAAGTGGCATACTTACACTATAAAAACACCTGATCATCTTTCCTTATCTTCAACGAAAATAACTTTTCATTATACTGTAAAAGTGTTAATATAAAGAATTGCAACTAAACAAGCATACTTCAAAGGTCACTACACAGAAGATATACTATTCTTTTGAGTTTATACTAAAGGCTAGAATCATGTAAAGAGCAACTTCAGTAAGATGGCATTGTAAATTTGTATTTATGGGTAAATGGTAGTCCCCAGGTAGTTTCAAAATGATTAATTGTAAAATACTTGGACAGGTAATGTCGTTAGTTCAACCAAATAACAGCAAATAATTACTCGATGGAGATGCTTACAGTAACTCCAAGAATTATACTTAATGATAATATTGTTGGCAACAGGCCAGCATTCCTTAGCAAAGAGTACAACTCCCTCCGAAGAGAATGTATAGATCTCATAGACTGTGCAAACAAAAATTCTTCCAGTGAAGGAAAACAAATACAAATCAGAAAAAGAAATTGGTTGAAAGGAACAAAGATAGAGAAACATAATACCAAGAGGCAGTCACAAAGAAAATTCTTGCAGAAGCAACCAGAATCATCTCTAGCAAACATCAGTTAGCAGGACTTGCAGCTTTTACAATAAATTACTACATTTAAAGTCAAAACTTATGTTGCATGATGAATAGATAACTCTTGTATCTTACATAACATGTGAAATATTAATATTACATCTTGAAAGATGTTTAACAATCTACAAATATTAACATTGCACTTTGAAATATATTAAACATGTTGTTACCCCGGGCATATTTACACCACAGTAGCTAAGCAAACCTCATTTTGCTCGCATTGTATTTAGGATTGATAATTTCACTTTTGATGTAACCAATGAGAAACTAAGTTTAGTTTAGCTTTATTTTATATTTTAGGATGCTTAAAAGTGAAAACTTGAAATAATGTGAGAGTGCCAAAAACTACAAACTGAAGTAGTTTACATATTTATTGCCTGATAACAATTTGAATTGCCTTTTAAATCCTATAGTCATACTGCAAAAGCACATCAACTTGAAAATAAAGCACATGCGCACAAGTTTATGAATCTCTAGAAAATATTAACAAATAGCATAAATGCACTGAAATTTGAACTCAAAACACTTAAAAAGAGGTTCTTAGAGAGCAAAGTACCTTCTACAATAGGTGACACACTGAAGAGTGAGCTTGGAAATGTATTTTAATCTTGTATCAACTTTCCTAGCTCTTGCTTATGTTTTTGTAGATCTTTGAATTATGTCCAAGATTGTGAATCTAAGTCAATACACCAAAAATATCACTACTATTTCTTAATTCCCAAAAGCACAAAATAGGCACATAAACACTTTATATAGTATAAAACTTCAAAGAAGTAAAAAAAAGAAATGCTAAACCTTGAAGTCAGTTGTTTTGCGTAATTGTAGGCATCATGGTAGGGAAATGTTACAGTATTATAATACATTTTCTCTCATATAGTTTTATGAAGGATATGTGTCACGGCCCGGATTCCCACCCTCGGGAGTCGTGATGACGCCTACTAGTACGAGCTAGGCAAGTCAATTAATTTCACAATTTACCCTTTTTTTCTCATTATATATTCATTAGCAATTCTAATAATAATAATAATAATAATAATAATAATAATAATAATAATAATAATAACATTTAAACAACGGAATTTAACATAAGCGGAAGAAAGAAGCCATAAGCTACCTGAACACGAATATCTAATACAACTGTTTGAACCTCGACTACCCAGAACTGGTGTCACAGTATCACAGACGGTCTAAGAATACTACAAAAAAAGGTCTGAAAGAAATAAATACAACACTGTCTCTGGAAATACATGAAAGAAACAGGAATAGTAGATGGAAGGAGACGCCAAGGCCTACGGACGCCTGCAGGACTACCTCGGGTCGCCTTATGAACAAGAATCAACAATCCCATTGTGGTCCAAAGTCAACAACACTGGGGTCTGCACAAAAGAGTGCAGAGTGTAGTATCAGCACAACCGACCCCGGGCCCACATGGTCAAAACCCAAGGTTCGAACCAAAACCCGATTACCCATTCCCCCACGAACTCAAATATATAATTTGTTTTGAAATCGAGGTCCAAATCCCCAATTTTTTAAAAACCTAGGTTTTACCCAAAACACCCAATTTCCCCCATGAAAATCATTGATTTTGAGTTTAAATCATGTTAAAAGATGTTAAGGAGTGAAGAAAATGAGTTAGAAATCACTTACCAACGTTTTGGAGAAGAAAGGTTGTTTGAAAAATCGCCCCTTATGTTTTTGGGGTTTTGAAAAATGAAAACTAACTGAAAATCCCCTCTAAATATACTATTCTCAGATGCCCTGTGCGGACCGCACAAAATCAACTGCGGCCGCACAGCACTACTTGTGCTCTGCAGTTACAGGTCTTAGTATTTTTGCCATAACTTTCTCTACAGATGTCCAAATGCCTATTATAATATTTTTCTGAAAACTAGATTCAAAGATCTACAACTTTTGTTTTTGAATGATCCCCAAATTCCTTGTAGATCGAAAGATATGAGCTTCCGTAGTCGGACCA